GCTGGCTGAGGAATTCTGGGAGTTGAAGTCCACAAGTCTTAAAGTTGCCAAGGTTGGACACCCCTGGTCTAAACCACTTCAGCCCACCCACCTGGGGCCGTCAGCTCACCTGATCCCCTCCTTTCCCTTTAGGACATCAAGAGGTGTTTGAGTGCGTTAGAAGAGCTGGGCAGCTTGCAAGTCACTTCACAGATCCTGCAGAAGCACACCGACGTGGTGGCTACGCTGAAAAAGGTTTGTGGTGCCACGGAGAGCGAGAGGAGTGGGGGTAGCTCTTTTCTCTCCCTTCCTTCTGCCAACTCACCCCCTCCCCTCTGCTTGTACAGGTAGTCCTCAACTTACAGCACTTCATTTAGCGTCCAGTGTTACAACATTCCTGAAAAAAACAAGGGGGGCTTGTAGCCAGTTTTTCACACTTAACGACCTTTGGAGCATCTCCGTGGTCACGTGAACCAAAATCCAGATGCTTGACAGCCGGCTCCTATTTATGATGGTCGGCGTGTCCTGCGATCCCCTTTTGCGACCTTTTGAGGAGCAAAGGCAACGGGGAAGCCCATTTCGCTCAAGAACCGCGTGACTAAGTTAACAACGGCCACAATTCACTTCGACAGTGGGGGCAAGAAAAGCCGTAAAATGGAGCAAAAGCAAAGGTCTCCCTTAGCAACAGAAAGGTTGGGCGTTTCAATTGTCGTAAGTTGAGGACTACCTGGACTTTGAGCTCCTCCCGTTTTCCCTAGAACAACAACCCTGTGAGGTGGGTTAAGTTGAGAGATCTTGTCAAGCAAGGTCCACGGAGAAGCCAGATTCCAACAGCGTTGCCAACTTACCCATTGCAGCGGTTCACTTAACCGTGGCGAGAAAGGTTGTAAAACGTGGCAAAACTCAACGCATGTTTCACTTACCATGAAAATAAGGCACTCCCCGAAAATAAGGCACTGTCATCTTTTTTTGGGGCCACCAAAAAAGGCACCCGGTCTTATTTTCGGGGGATCTCATCCACTGACTAACCTCATTTGCGCATATCGTCCTCAGCCTCCTTTTCGCGGTCAGAGGCCTTCAGGAATTTCTTCTGTGGCCGGCAAAGCTTTCCTGAAGGCCTCTGCAGCCGATAAAGCAGCTTTGGATCGATCCAGAGCTTTCTTATCAGCTCCAAAAGCCTTCAGGAAAGCCTGGCCAGCCTTGCCAGCTGCAGAAGAAATGGGCCGGCAAAGCAGGGTGTCGGGGTGTGCGAGGCCTGACTACACCTGTCCAAAGGTAAGTAGTAGGGCAGCTCCAACCCCCATCCCCATCCTAATTTTCACCTGTGCACCCTGGAGTGGGCGGGATCTTAATTAGGGCTTATTTTGTGAGTGGGGCTTATATTAGGCACACGTGTCAAAATCAAGCTAGGACTTTCATGGTAGGTGGTATTTTCGGGGAAACGGTAGCAAGAGAAATTTGAGGCTCCATTGTCGTGAGTCAAGGACTACTTCCCCGCTTTCCGTTGTGGATTTTGGAAAACCGCAGAGTTCCAAGTCCTCTGTGGGTGAACATCGGCATGGCTACGTCTGATTTATCTTCGGGTTAAGTTGACACAATTTTGGCTTGAAGGAATAAGAGACGGCGTCTTATTCCTCTGTTCATCATTAAACATTTTGTTAAGGGAGCTTTGCCCCGTTTTACATTTCTGGCCACAGTGGTGAACCGAATCGCTGCAGATGTTAACTTGATAACATGGTGGTTAATTGAATCCGGCTAGCTTTGAACATCGCGCTCATTTTTCTCAGTGTGGTTTATTGGGCGACTCATTCCAAAAAAGGGCAAGTGGAGATTCTCAGGGGTTTTTTGGTTTTTTTTCTTAGAAAATCGTTTTGCCTTTTGGCCTGGATGATCGAGAATTTCCATAGACATTTATTGGCTGAGCGACGCTGGCTAAGTCCAGCAAAACCCACTTCAGCTAAAACCGATCTGAACCAGGGTGGGTAGACTTCAGAAACCATCCTAATCGACGGAGCCTGAAGGGTTCGGATAGCTGCCCTCCGGGGAGCCCTTTCGAGGCTGTCCTTCCAGGCTGCCCCAACTTGAACTTTCCTCCTTTTTCTTTTGGCCATCCTCAGATTCGACGTTACAAAGCGAACAAGGATGTGATGGGGAAAGCCGCCGAAGTCTACACGTGCCTGAAATCTCGCGTCCTGGGCCCAAAAACTGGGCCCAACCAGAAGGTGCACAGAGCTGAGGTGGAGAAGGAGAAGGAGGAAGGGGACAAAGAGAAGGAGAAATTGCCAGCGGGAGAAACGGAGAACGAGCAGAGAGAGGAGGAGGAGGAGAACGCTGGTAAGGCCCGTCCCCGGAGGGTATCGCACGAGCGCTTAGACTTATATACCACTTCACAGTGCTTTTACGGCCCCTCTCCAAGCAGTTTACAGATTCAGCCTCTGCCGTCCCCCGCAACAAGCTGGATCCTCATTTTAACCAACCTCGGAAGGACGAAAGGCTGAGTCCACCTTGAGCCGGTTAGAATTGAACTGCCGGCGGTGGGCAAAATTGGCCTGCAGTACTGCATTCCAACCAGAGTGCAAGAGAAGAGAGGGAGAAGGAGAGATTGTAGGGAATAGACGATAGATGGGGGCGGGGGGAGACGATAAGTAGATAGGTAGGTATGTAAGCGGATGGATGGGTGGATGATAGCAGTAGCACTTATATACCGCTTTGTAATGCCTTACGGCCCTCTCTAAGCAATTACAGAGTCAGCCTCTTGCCCCCAACAATCTGGGTCCTCATTTGACTGACCTTGGAAAGGGTGGAAGGTTTGAGTCAACCTTGAGCTGGTCAGGATTGAACTCCTGGGAGTGGGCAGAGTCAGCCTGCAATGCTACATACCTACCACTGCACCACCAGAGCTCTTGAGAGAGAGAGAGAGAGAAAGAGAGAGAAAGAGAGAGAGAGATGATAGATACCGTAGATAAGGAGAGAGATGATAGATTAGGTAGGTAGGTAGGTAGCAATAGCACGTCAACTTATATACTGCTTCACAGTGCTTTACAGCCCTCTCTGAGCTAGTCAGCCTCTGGCCTCCAACAATCTGGGTCCTCCTTTTACCGACCCCAAAACGACAGAAGGCTGAGTCAGCCTTCAGCCAGTCAGGATTGAACTGCTGACAGTCGGCAGTCAGCAGAAGTAGCCTGCAATATTGCATTCTGCCCACTGCGCCCCAGGGCTCCTAAATCCAAAGATTCGTGAAATCCAGGAAACGTTGGGCAGTCCCACGATTCTGAAAACCGTGAGATGGATGGGATTTGCGTCCCTGTCCCTTGGAAAAGGAGAGGCGGTTGCGCTCCTGGCTTTTCAACTTGCCTCCCGGTCCCCACCCTGAGAAGCAGCCCAAGACAGTTGCCGAGGGGAGGAAAAAATCCAGCCCTTTGCTTGGTCCCTCGTCTGGTCTTATCCTTTTCTCTTCCTCTTCCAGATCTCCCGGCGCCTGTGAACGGGGAATCAGCCAGCCAGAAAGGTGAAGCGGGGACGGAGGATAAAGGCCAAGGGGAAGACTGGACTTCGGGAGATGGCAAGAGGGGGACGTCGCCCGAGGACACCCACAACAAGTAAGTCGGTCCGGGTGGCTGGCAGGCAGGCAGGCACATGAGAGGGGGAAGGGGGAGGGGGAGGAAGGAAGGGAGGAAGGAGAGAAAAAAGGAAGGAAAAGAAGGAGAGGGAGGGAGGAAGGAAGGAAGGAAGGAAGGAAGGAAGGAAGGAAGGAAGGAAGAAGGAGAGAGAAAAGGAAGGAGGAAGGAAGGAAAAGTAGGAGAGGGAGGAATGGAGGAAGGAGGGGGAGGCAGGAAGAAAGGGAAGGAAGGAAGAGGGAAGGGCGCAGAGGGAGGGAGGGAGGAGAGAGAAGGTGGAAGGAAAGAGGGGGAAGGAGAAGTAGAAGAGAATTCTTTATGGAGGAAAGAAGGGGAAGAAGGGAGGCATGGAAGAAAGAAGGAAAGAATAAGTAAAGGGATGGAAGGAAGGAAAATAGAGTGGTGAAGGAGAGGGAGGGAGGAATGAAGAGGGAGGGGAAGAAGGAAGGAGAAAGGAGGGAGGGAGAGAATATCTCGTAAACTGCCCTCCACTTCCCCGGCCTCCAAGAAGACCATTCCCACTTTAAGGAAAGTGTCTTCCGATCACCGTTTCCCTGCCGTTCTTCCCGCCCTGATCTCTCTCTCTCTCTCTCTCTGCCCCGCCCCTTTTCTTCCTCCCTTCCCTGGGATCTCCGCAGAGCGCAAGACTATCCCGAGACAGACCAGGCGGGGACGGAGCGAAGCGCAGTCCAGCCCGAGTCGGACTCGGCGGATGAAGACGACGAGAGTTGAAAGCGGCCGAAAGGGGCCCCTCCACCCACCCCCCCCCCCCCCCCCCCCCCCCAGGGAAATGGGCGCCTTCCCCCCCCCCCGGATTGTTGCGATGCCCGGCGTTTCCGTGATGCTTCTCAAAAGCCGCGCAGTAGATGGCGTTCTAGGTCATGTCCTTCCTGAGAACTCTTCCCCCCACCCCTCCCCCTC